TTCTGTATTTATATAAACAAACCCTTTATTTCTATATATCTAAATACTTTTAAAACTCAATTAACTCTTGGTATTTTGGAATTTTATATTTCATTTTCTATGAAAAAACAAGTTACATTGGGATTTTCATATTTATCTTTTTTGCATGAAGAAAACTATATACCAAGCAATATAGAGGTATCTAAAAAATTAATGCTTCCTTAGAATATTTTCATATATACAGAAAATTGAGGAGAGTACGTAATTCCCACAAACCCCTGCACCCAGTTTACCCTATTATCAACATCAGAGATAGCATGGTACATTTACTATGATTAATGAATGAATGGAAACGTTGTTATTGATAAAAGTACAGAGGCATTTAAAAAATCTCTATATTGGGGCCTCCCTGGTGGCGCAAGGGGTTAAGCACTGCACTATGAAGCAAATCCGCAGCCTTTGCAGCACGAGTTCAATCCCCGGCTGGCCAGGGAGCAACCCACATGGTGAAGCAGACCTCTCCTGACTCGCCCGCTGCTCCCCTTAGTAGTGTATTTCAGTCTGCCTGTTCTGTTCCCCACTCTGTCTCTGGTGTCCTCTACCCCCTGCCCCCGCATCTCTGGCCTGTACCCTAGCTCTTGTATGCATAAATAAATAACTCAATAAAAAATAAAAAATAAAAAATCTCTATGTGACTAACATTAGTTTTAAAATGGAGATTTGGCTAATTTTAAGTCTTAGAAATGCTATGCTGAAAATCAATATTCTACTGCCACCTAATGTTCTGAATAAATACATAATTTCAATTTTAATTCTCAGAATTTTTTCATTTATCTATACTTTCATAACATTTTAGAGCTATATGTTTTCATACAGATCACTTTTTAATCACTTTAATACATAGATGAATACACTGATGCTCAGGGAATCCAAGTCCTACAGGTTGCTATTGATGTAAACTTTCATTTATTCATTCATTCACCCATATATCATCAAACAATCCCTTAACACCTGCATTAGAAAAGGGGCCTCCCTGGTGGCGAAAGGGGTTAAGACGCAACTTATGATGCTATCCGCAGCCACTGCAGCACGAGTTCGATCCCCGGCCAGGGAGCTACCCACGTAGTGCAGCAGATCTCTCCTGACTCGCCCACTGCTCCCCTCAGCAGTGTACTTCAGTCAATTTGCCTGTTCTGTTCCCCACTCTGTCTCTGGTGAATCCTCTCACTCCCCATAACTCTGGCCTGTACCCCAGTTCTTGTATGCATAAATAATAAATACATCTTTAAAAAACAAAAAAAGAAAAAGAAAAGGTGCTGGGGACACAAAGATGAGTGAGACCTTTTACTGTCGGTAAGGATCAGCCTCACTGTCTATAAGAATCTCATAGTCTAATGGAGACGTTGAAAATTATTATAAAGCAATATGGTGAGTAAAAATGCTCAGTATTCTGGGAACACAGGGAAAGAACTTTGGGTTGGGGTGGGAATATAGGGAAATTGCCTAGGAGTTTTCCTAAAGGGGCATGTGGACTGAAGCAGACATTAAAAGATCTTTAGGAAGTAACTAGGTGAATAGGGAGGGGACAAGGAATTAAGGTATTCCAGAAATAACATCAGGGATAAAGACAAAACTAGTATTGTGAACTTGGGGCGGGGAAAACTAACTTAAATTTCTTTTTAAAGATTTATTTATTTATTTATACAAGAACCGGGGTACAGGCCAGATGCGCGGGAGGGTGAGAGGACCCACCAGAGACAGAGTGGGGAACAGAACAGGCAGACTGATGAAATACACTGCTGAGGGGAGCAGTGGGTGCAGCAGGAGAGGTCTGCGCGCCGTGTGGGACCCTCGCCAGCCAGCCAGATCCAACCAGCACTGCAGAGGCTGCAGACAGCTTCACAGCCCAGCACTCAATTGCCTGCACCACCAGGGGAGGCCCTAACTTTTAAATTTTAATGGCTGAAATCACCTAGGGAGAATGTGAACAGTGAAAGAGAATGAGAAGGGAAGTCAGATGGTTTCGTAGTGAGAACGATGTGGCAGAGAAGTCATCCACCAGGCTGAATACCACACAGGGTTTGCATAAGCTTTAAATAGATCCACCTGATGTATCAGCTGAGAAGTCACTGATATTAAGTACTGTTTTAATGCAGGGGTATGAGCAGAATCAGACTGTGATAGTTGACTGTGAACTTGAAAGAAGGAAAAGTAGAAGCGACTGAAGGGCCTGGAAAGGCTAACAGCTTCCAGGCCAGGGGAGAGTTTGCTTGTCACTTTTAGGAATTTCATTCTTGATCATGAGGTGATGAAGAGGGAGGGTGTCAGGGTCAGATTCACATTTAGCTGGACCATTGTCATAGTCCTGCGGAAGCCCTGTGGGTTTGGGAGAGAGGGAACATTGGGGCCTGGGGACAGCAGTCAGAGGAACTGTCCAGAAAAGGGAAATAAATGACCCTGGGTAGGAGGAGAAGAGGTGGAGCAGGGAGCCTCCCTTGGAGAGACAGCTGGAGGTAAATCAGGTGGGAAGACTTTCAACTACTGGATTTAAACTGAATATAAAAGGAAACGTCAAGGATGATCTTGGTGTTTTAATTTTAGGAACTGAGGCGATGGAGGTGCTATTGAGACAACTTAAAAAAGACAAGGTTTTGAGAAGGCAACGCAATTTGAACTCTGCACTGGATGAGGTTACACTGTTTGAGGGAGAATCCAGATGAATAGTTGGATATAAAATTTTGAAGCATAGAGGAAGTGTGGGCTGAAGATATCTATTTGCTAGTTGTGAGTGCATAGGAAGGAGTTAAAATGAAGAAAATGGATGATGTACCATAAAGGAAATGTATAAAAAGAATGGAGGGGTGGTACAAGGAAAGAATCCTGGAGAATACAACACTGAGTGAGGGTGGTGGGCAGAGGAAGACCAGCAATTTAAATAGAAAAGGGATAAATGGAGAGTTGAATGGAGGATTAGTGAGAAAGAAAAAATAATCTCTTGCACTTGAAGTATAAAGTTGAGGTTTCTAAGAGCCAATTAGTGAGGATTTAGTGTACTGTTTTGTTTTTTTTAATAACTTCAACTCTGCCCCTCGATTTCTAATAATAAAATCTGAGGTAGCCTTTTTTATTGTCAAGCACTCTGCAATCCCTATGTTCTCCAGCAGGGGGAACTAGCCAACTGTCTACTACTCCTTGTAATCTGTCATTTTACTAAGGTGGCTGAAGTGAATGATCACATTTCCTAGGACAATTTAGTGATGTACAGTTAGTAGTCATATATATAATTTTCTCCTTATAACCATAAAAGGTCTCTTTCCAATTTTATTAACGTGAAAACCGTCACCAACACCATCATCATCCATCACAACCATTAATCATTACACTTATAGGCCCTTTGCCTCGAATCTACTGGAATAAGAAAAAATTACACCTCATCCAAAATTATTCAGAGCTATCAAGACAGCAACAAAACTCTTATTTTGTCTGAAACCACTTAACTCATGTCAGTACTCTATCTGGTCTATAGATAAGAGGCTTTTACCCTCAAACACATTATTCATAGCTAATTAAGCAAATATTATCATTGCTTTTGAAAACCCTCAAAGTCATTTCCTTCATATGATCCACGCTGACTGCAGTTAATGCACCATCCTAGTTGCTATTCTTTGAAAGTAAAAATATTTGCTTCAAGTTTTGAACTTGATTGATGTAAAATGAAGGTTGGGGAAATTTTTTCATGTGGTTTCAGGAGCTTTCTCAGTACTTTCATGCATCCTTAGAAACTGCCAGTGAACTGCATGAAACAAAGTAGTATTGTTTCTCTGGAGAGTACGAAGCTGAATTACAGAGACCTAAATTTTAAAGCTTGCTAAGTAGCTCCACTCCTTTTATATAAAGTTAATGGGAAAAGTAAGGGGCTCAGAAGAAATCTTTGGAGACACAAGGTAATATATGACTTACTGGACGTTTTTCATGGTTGGCCGGAGGCCTTGGAAGGGTGGGGCACTGGGAACCAGTTTCTCCTCAGGGCCCCGGCAGCTGCCACCACCCTCCTGCCACACCTCAGGAGACTGGTGGTGACAAAGCAGGGCAAAGACACTGGAGGAGGGATTCGAGGAGCTGGTTGCATGTAGATACGTGGTTTTTATTTGGAGATACCCCAGATAGTAACCCAGAGTGTGAAGTGTGCACTGCAGCAGACAGGATGTGACATTACCAGAGGAAGCCAGGTATTGGCTTCTGAGTCAGAACTGCGCCTTCCTCTAATTCCATGCGTCAATCCGTAAAATGTCTATGAGCTCGGCCACATGCTAGGTAACGGGGAGACAAAGATAAAACCCGGCCTCCGCTGTCAATTCGCGGGCCTTAGAGAATGACAGGCATGCAAATAAATAAGCGAACGAGCCTAGTCCAAAGTCCAAAGGAGGCATCTCAGAGGAAGTGCCCGCCCTTGTCTGGGAGGGTCAGGAACACGCTTCTGGGCTCGGCCCACGCGTGGATCGCACTGCAAGCTGCGCACAGCGGAGGACCCGAACCCCTGCCTCAAAGTGCTGGACCCTGAAATATGCTATGGTTGCCAGTCAGACCCTCTCAGACGCCGAGGGCTGCGTGTCTCGTGGGTGTTGCGCACATTAAACGTGCATATGTCTAATCACTGAGAAGAAAAACGTTTGGGGTGAGAGGATCCAGAGGCGGGGGGATGCGGCTGCCCCCTGGAGAAGCGCAGGGGGACGCAAGGCAGGTCTGACACCCCTCGCCCCCGCCCCGGGGGGCAGGCCCTGACACCCCTCCAGGCCCCAGGGCGGCGGTGCGCCCCGCTCCCGCCCGGGTTACAGCGGCCCCGCCCCGTGCAACCCGAGCCTCTCCCCGCCCTCCCGGAGCGCGCCCCAGCCCGGCGGGGCAGGTCGGGGCGGCGCGCAGTGAGTCACCGGAATCCAGGTGGGGCCCTGGCGCCGCGCCCCCGCGCCCGGCCCGGCCCGGCCCGCGTCCCTCGGGAGCCGCCTCCCGCGGCCGCTTCCCTTTTGTGGCGCGGCCCGCGCTCGCCCGCCACTCTCCGCCGCCGCCCGCCCGCCCGCGCGCTCTTCTCTCCGCGCCCGCCCGTCGACATGCTGCGCTGCGGCCTGGCCTGCGAGCGCTGCAGGTGGATCCTGCCCCTGCTCCTGCTCTGCGCCATCGCCTTCGACATCATCGCCCTGGCGGGCCGCGGCTGGCTGCAGTCGAGCGACCACATCCAGACGTCCTCACTCTGGTGGCGATGCTTTCATGAGGGCGGCGGCAGCGGGTCGCGAGAAGATGGCTGCGAGAGTCTCATGGAATACGGTGAGTGCCGCCGCCTCCGGGAAGCCCTCCGGGTGCCGCCCGGCTGGTGCCTGCGCCCTAGGAACGCCCTAGGAACGCCCTAGGAACGCCGGGTCCTCTGCAGCCGCTGGGTGTCCAAGGGACTGACTATGGTCAAGGGGACCTGGGTTTATTCAGGATCCTCACCCAAATATATGTGATTTTAGTCAAATTATGTTATGTCTCTAACTTTGGCTTCTGTACAGGTAAAATGGAATGTTTTTGATTACATTTTGCCACTATTGTACTGCAAGTTCTGGTCTGTTTCCCCTAATTTGAGGGCAGTCTGAAGGAAGAATTTCAATTCTAAATACGCAGTTTGACAATTACAAAAAAACCCCCCAAAAAACAAAAAACATGTTTCATACCTGAAGCTTTAAGTGGCCCAAACCAGGCTCAACACTGCAGAAACAGGGCCCTACTTCTAGCTGTGTTTTTGTAGGGTCTTTTTGTTACCTTCAGAAGGTCATTTCAGCCGTTGAAAAAGGTTTAGTGAAGAAGGTATATTTTCTTGGGGACCTTCTAATAGTCTTCCCACACCTCTGCTCTGGTTTTAGGATTAAAATGTAAAGATTAAACCACCTTCCTTCCCTGACTTCGTTGAGTCCATTTAACTTGGACTTAATGAAAGAAACTTTCTCCACTAAAAAGCGCTCTGTCATTCACAGCTCCAGCAGTTATGACTGAGACACTGCAGTATTTTAGGCGTCGGGTTAGTTCTTGTTCTCTTTTATTTGTGCCTGAAGCTCAGCATTGCTGTTTAGAGTGCTTATTTATTGTAATCTGACTTGAAATCCCCAAATCAAACACATCTACGCCGGTGAAAGGCAGCTGAATTGACAAATGTAATATATTGCTGAGAAGTATTTATTTTTCCAGCATGGAGGAAGCCTTGGTGCTTCGCTTGCTGGGGACGTGACTCAAGGAGCAAATTCTTGTCTGATCCACTCCCCCACCCCCATCTCCTAACTCCCACCCCCAACAATATTCACCCCACTCCACCCACCCCCATCCCTTATGGGTGGATGTGAAGAACTGAGGGAAAGGGTCTATTGTGATTATTGAAGTGTTGGGGGATGGGACAGTGGAGGGTTTAAGTATGAGGAAAATCTGAAGTTAAAAGCCAAATTCCCCAAAGAATGGGGTCTAACCAACTGAGTTCAGTAGTTTTAAATGGAGAAAAAGGCCACCCTGACTTTCGTGATTCCCTGCTGTCTCTGAATGTGTACCTTGCTGTCTCTGAATGTGCCAGGGCTTACCCCTGCTGCTTTGTGGTTCTGCAGCCCTGCCTCAGGGGCTTAGTGTTCTGTCCTATCAACTCAAAGGGTTTGGAGGTTCCCACCAAGAAACACCTCCTCCCCAAAGGAGGCATGGTCCTCCTTATCTGGTAATAAAATGTAAAGACTGTGTGAAATTCCTCTGCTTTCCTTAAAAGTCTGTGTTTAAGATACAAACACTATGTCCAGAGTGGTCTGAATTTTAGTTTTTTAAAGGGAATTGATCTCTTTGAAATAATGTAACTCAACTAGAACTTAACAGATCTGCTTAATCGTGTATGTTTTAAAACAGACTTTGATAATCATGCCTCAGTCCAAAGGCTTAATGCAGACCAAAGGAGTACTCAGAAATCCAAGGGAGAATGTTAGGCTGCCAGTGGGAGAGTGTGCCCTTGGCAGAATGTGCTGGCAGAACCAGGATCAGCGCTAGACATGACCTGACCTGCCAGACTTGCCGTCACCTAGCCCTGAAACAGGACAATGCAGTTTTTATTTCTCTTGATTTTAGGATGAACTCACCTTCTTGGGTGTGGCTTTTCCAACCTCAGACTGATACACAGGGCTTTGTATGTGGAAAAAGTAGGCATGTTTTGTTTCGCCGTGTGCTTAATTTTTTAATGAGATAGAAGTGTAAAGAAAAAGACTGATTCGTGTATAATTTAGGTTTCAATTTGATAGAAAAATTGGTTTTGGTAAGGTTCGATTTTCCAAGTGAGTCTTTGAAAATCTATGACTACCTTCATTGTGATTTTCATGAATGGGTGGTGGCCTTCACATCCCATTTTAATTATTCCTCTGACCTTTGCGAAAATAATTAAATGCCCATAATGTGTTAGACGCGGCTTTGGTTGAGACCTAGCCTAGAATCACATGCTGAATCCAGGATCCACAGTCATGAGGTGACGGTGCAAGACGAGTATGGATAGAGGCCTTCCCTGGCCATTACAGTCAAGGTGAGCTGAAGTATTTATTTCACTTCTACCCCATCTGCTGGCCATGTGTCTTGGCTGGTTTTCCTCCCAGGTGTAGATCTATTCCTACATTGTAGGGAGATTGTATAGGTATCTCCAGATTGGAGATTTTTAGATAAACTCAAGAAAGCCTTGCTGAAAACATGGACAAGAGGTAGTCTTTTACCTAGAATGCAGCAAGCAGTTTACCATGCTCCCACTTATGTACAAATAATATCTTGGGTAACCAGCAGTAAGGATGGCTCTCATTAAGTAATGTCTCCATGTAGAGAATTCAGTGTGTACTTGTACAAAAAACTTCTTGATAAGTACTAGGAAGTGGAGACTACGATTTATATGTGTAACTCTTAAGAAAGTAGACTTTTTAATCAGAAAATGCTTGACCATCTGTTATCAGTTGATATTCTGAACATTAGTCTGCTCATTTTGGTATTAAAGCTTGGCTATTCCTGGCAATAATACAAAGTAATGCAGATGTTTTGATAAAGCGAAATAGCTCCTTCAAATTATGTAAAACAATATTCTTCACTGTTATTGATAGTTTTAAAAAATAATTTCGGATTACTATAGTGTCTCATTTTTCCTCATAAATGAATCCAATTATACACTGAATATTTTCTTTTACATGATCTTCACTGTCATAACATCAAAAGAATATCTAGGGCCTCCCCGGTGGCGCAGCGGTTGAGCGCTGGGTTGCGAAGCTGCCCGCAGCCTCTGCAGCGCCGGTTCGATCCCCGGCTGCTCCCCGGCCACCGGAGGAGGGTCCCACATGGCGTGCAGACCTCTCCTGCCGCCCGCTGCTCCCCTCAGCAGTGTACTTCGGTCCTTCTGCCTGCTCTGCTCCCCGCTCTGGCTCTGGTGAATTCTCTCACCCTCCCGCGCTTCTGACTGTACCCAATGCATGTATAAACAAAAACAAAGAAGGAAAGAAAGAAAGAAAACATGCCTCTATATAAAAATAAAAAAAAAAAAAAAAAAAGAATATCTAGACATAAACATATGAAATGATCATTCAAATTTCAAATGTAAATAAAATGCAAAATTAAATTTGAATGCAGGGTTTTGCATGCTATTTTTTAACTGCTGGCACCCTCTGTTTCAGTTTGAAGAATGAATAAATACATTAGGAGGCTCTTTTAAACATCACCCATCTAATCCCAAGCAAGCTCCAACTTGCCTGGGTGGAGAATAATGGAGATGAATTTATGCACTGAGAACAAATATGGGGCATCAGTATGGCTGAGTGGGGGAGCACTTGCCTTGGATCAATCTCAGAAGTGTGGAGCCCCAGTTTTACCCAAGACACCCTTTAATTTTTCATGTTAAAAAGTATATTTTTCAACATGAAATCAGCCTTGTATAAGTCAAAGAATCAGAATATATGAGACATATATCTAGGTTATTTGTAGTTCTTAAGTATATAAGAATTAAGAAAAATATGAAATTATTAGGTGGTCATTAGGTTAAATTCAACTTAAAGGACTTCATTTCGGATTGTGAGTTCTCTCTGTGGTCACATGTTCACGTCCCTATGTAACAAAATTAAAAGTTACTTTCAGTTGACTTTTATAATTATTATATATGTATAAATAAATTATATAAATTATTATATAAATATAAATTATATATAATATATAAAAGTGTATATATTCACATAAAATATTGAACTCTAAAAACCAGTGATCTAGCCCAATAGACTCCACATTTGTTGCACTTAGCAGTCACCACCCAAGAGCCTCCATCCCTTTTTTAAGACCTGATTTATTTCTGCACAATAAATGGGCACAAACTTCTAGATTATTAGATTAGGAAGGAATAAGAAGGCACAACATTGCAAAATAATGTTACTGCAATTAAAAAAAAAAAAGAACACACCTGATCCTACTTTCTCCACCCTCATCAAGACACCCATGACCAATAGATCCAACCTGCTTTCCTTTACCCAACTTAATTCAGGGCCTGAACAAAGCTATTTGTTTAACGGTACTTCTCTTTTACCAGTGGGACTGCCATGAGCGTCCCTGTAAATTCTACTTTCCATCTTCCTTCCATCTGTCCAGCTTTCAAAGACTTGAGAGCAGATTCGAGTTATCTAGTCTGATTTCAAGGAATAGTCTTGTTTTCCCACCTACCTATGTCCGCTGGCTTCCCTACTCCGACACTACAAGACCATAAGGGGTAAAGCATCACAGCCTTGTGGAAGCACATTGGTCAGTAGTTATCATCTGGCTCAGTTTCAGGAGCAAATGGAGTGCTGGTAAGGAATCTCACACCCGCGGTGGAATGCTCTTCCTGGGACTCTGCCATTGCTCCCTTATGCCTCTCTTTTACTGCCTTCCAAAATTTCTGCAAAATCACTTCTTTCTATATAGATTTTTGGGGAGGCTGTTAGAAGTTGTGCTCAAAGTAGCAGAGACCACCAGCATCAGCATTATCTGAGAGGTTGCTGGGCATTCCATGTCTCAGATCCCTCTTCCTCAGATTCCCAAGCACCATTGCGGCTCAGAGCCCTGGCCCACAGTACTGCACACTGCCTCCTGATTGACTGCAGCCGTCTGTTTGAATATACCATCACACCCACCCCACCCCTTATATTTATTTGTACGGGGGATCTTGGTTATTTCTTAACTCTAACTTTATCCAGTGTTCAGTTCTGCCTGTGCATGATGTAGAGAACCTTATAGAAACAATATGAAGAAATCTAATGGTTAGATTCACTAGATGGGGGCTT